ATATACAACGCGTGAGGACTGGGGGGTTAACCGAGATTGGAATGAGTGTGCCGACGGCTTAGCTAGTGCTGCGCTGCAATGTCAATGTGGGATCGTGGTTGAGTCTGAAAAGGAGATCCAGGATCTAGTGACGTTGAACCGGTTGTATGAAATCCTGGTAGTGAAGACCGAAGAAGAGCAGCACTGATATCCGCTGTATTGACCTGATGTAAGGCCAGATCTGAAGCGCGAACTGGGTCTGATCCAGACTCATTACGAGAGGAAGTTGTGAGAGAACTGCAGATCGAGCGGATAGGATGAGCAGGCATGGATCTCAAGATTGAAGAAGTATTTGGTTGGAGAGGTCCGAGATCTGACACAAGAAAACGCTATAGTATTCGGATCCATGGCCATGAATATTGAAGTGGATCAGTCGGATCTATTCTTCTACTGCCCGACCACCAAATAATCCGCTGCGGATCGAGACAAATGGATGCGATTGGAGGTACCTGAGGCGCTTCAGTAAGATGTTTTGTATCACTATCATACGATTCTGCAGGGTGGTCATCAAGGAATTGGTCGGACCTACGATCGGAACCGCGATAACTTCTACTGGAGAAAGTTAAAAAGAGCGTACACCGATATGTGGCTGAATGCGTTGAGCGTGAAACAAGCAAATGACGATATCGGATCCAGGGTGAGTCACTTGGTAACTTCTAGGCAACATACCCGTTCCAGATTATCGCCATGGATCACATAGCTTCGCATCCCAGATCTTTTAATGACAAGAGAGAGCTCTTGATCTTCGTGGATATATTTTCTGGATACGTGATGGCCAAGGCCAGCGCCTCTAGATCTGCACAGACGACCGCCGAGACTGACGAAGAATGCGTATTCCGCAGATTTGGCGCCAGCGAAGTGATCCAGCATGATCGAGAACCAGGTTTTATGTTTAACTTCATCAAGTCTTTTAACAAGATCTTGGATCAACACTAACGTGCTACTATGTCTTATAGACCCCACGCTAATGAATCCACAAGGCGGATGGTCCAGACAACTACCAGAGCTCTTGTGATGTATGTGCAGAATATGGATCAACGTGATTGGGACGAATACGGTGAACGGATCGTTTTCGCGGCCAACACCGCGAGAGAACGGATCCGAGGTGAAACCCCTTTCTACATGATACATGGCAGCGATCCTAAATCCACTCTGGAAGCCGTGATCTCGGTGGGGAGCACTCGCAGGCACGATCAAGATCTAAGAAGGTGACGATATCAGATGCAAACGTATTACCAACAGGCTCGAGAACAAGTTAACCCACGTTTACGCGACGTTATCGCGGATCGAGCAGACACACATAATGATCTGGTACGCCCCCATCCAATTGAGGCTGGATCAAAAGTTTGATTGTACTTGAATCGGTTGCGTGAAGAATATCGCTGAGAAGATCGGAAAGTATGCAGTGAAGCTGGAGATTGCAAGATCAACGCACAGCATCTTTCCGGTGGTACATACCTCGAAGATCAAACCCATTAGGATGTTCCCAGTTCGACCGGTAGCCAGCCTAGTGGAGTCGGCTGTAGAACGAGTGGACTATGATGAAGCTCTCCTACCTGAACACAGTTGGATCCAAGATCCAAATGAGTATGAAGATGACCGAATTTCCGATATGAGGACTGGTAGAAGGACGAAATATGGACGGATCTATCGAGAATTTCTGGTGCACTAACGTGGATATGAAGACTTGACTTAGGTGGATGAGGCAAATCTCGACTGCGGTGCTCTACTTTATGAGTTCCTGTGAGACCGTACTAATTGTAACCGGTTTGGTGTGATGCCGTTTCATGAAGAACCGTGAGATCTGGATCCACATTGATGAGTTGGTAATTCTTGTGGAAAAATGATGATGGATCTGCAAGGAGGTTGCAGATCGAAGGACAGGGTTTGCATAGCGTTGTATACGACGAAAAGCTGATTAGGCCACAGGGGAAAAAGTGTAATATTTGCGAATTATGCGGCTGAGGTGTGGATATCTGTGTTATATTCGGGACAATTCGGCATGGCGCGAACGACCCTGTTATAGTTGTAAAGCCCCATATCTAGTCTATATCGCGATATTTACGACAGCAACCTTGTATTATTGAGTACGATTCACGTGCAGCGGTACAAGTCAAAAATACTCAATAAATGTGTATCATTTCACGTTCCTTCTGTCTAAATCTAGGGAGAGCTTACTCTATCGAAAAAGCGCAGGTTGTGCACAAAATATTACCATGTTTCATTAGGAAATATCTCAGGTCACAAGCCTCATAGACATGAGAAAGTTGCACCTCCTGCTTATATATGCAAATCGGCGCGATGACACCGCCGATTATGTCTTATATCTTCCAGGAAATGGCGTCGTACTCCTCACCACAATTCACAATTCACACCACCTTTGAAATCAATTTTTCATTTACATCTTGACTTCCGAAACCGTATCGTGGAGTTCTGGGCAGCGATTTGCATCGAGACACAAATTTATAAGAAAAAATCATCATACTGCGATGCTACAAGTTCCATTTCGGCAAAAAGACATAGTTAGCGATAAAACGTTTGTATTCGTGTTTAACAGAAAATTCTGTAAAAATGAACACCATATACGAAGACACACTTTTTGGGACTGTTACATATTGAGGTTCTATGTGGAACCAGTCGATACAGGTGTGGATACGGGAACGAAGGAAGTCGATATTCGATTGTGGATCTACGAATATATTATCCCAAAGATTATGGATCAGATGATGAATGACCAATGTCAAGGTGTTGAAGTGAGGATCTGTGTGAACAACAGGATAGAAATTAGTGAGATCAAGAGACACCAGCGAGCCAAAGTCTGAGCGAAAAGTAATATGTATTACGGTTATATGGTCTTCGCAGAAGCGACTTGCTGCTACGAGTGCTGAGTTGGTGAATGGGACGGACTTAAGGGAGTCGCCGTTGGAAATTCTCGGTCAACTCCGGTGGTCCACACAACCTGACTTTACCGGACTACGACTCATGACCAACGCTCGTAGGTCCCTTTATAAGGAGCTTCAACCACCAAGTCACAATATGAGGAGCTGTGTATGACACTCAAAGATGACCTGTAGTCGCGATCCACACTTAGGCGAGTCATAGTCGGTTGATTGGCCTAGCCGTCGTTAGCCGTTTGAGAGTCGTTAGCTTAGTCGCATTTATACTTGATATTTGTATACGCTATAGTAGGAGTTAGGACTAGTCTTAACGCCCACTAGGACGGAGAACAGAACAGAATTTGCTACTTAAAAGTCAAGTCTTCTTTTTGGTAAGTCCAAAAGGACCAGACCGCTTTGTGTGGTTTATATGTCTGTTGGTGAACTGGGTTAAAGAACTCCTGTTCATCCGTGGTAAGCCCAAGCGCTAGGTGTGAGGTTTGGTCGTATTGAAGGCCGACGAGCCATCGGCGACGACTGGAGGCACATTCCCAGTAATTCTTACCACTGGAGCAAGTACACCCCTACGTCTGGCTGAAAAGTCAAGCACCTTCCACCACGGAAGGGCAGGCAGGATCAAGTTTAAGGAGAATGAGAAGACGACTGGGAGTGCTCGTGCCAAGGACTTCAGTTTTTGGTCGACCTACGACCTACAACCTTATCAGCACAGAGTCAAGTGGAGCCCGGAAGGGATCGAGTCAAGGGCTATCGAGAATATTCCTTTGCTCCCGATCGTCGTTAGCTCTTTGCGGAGCAACGAATTGTTGTGAGTGGCAGGAGGGATACAATCGCGAATTCCCAACACGACAGTTAGTGGCTAAAATCTGGACGATGTGGCGACGCGGATTGCAGTTTTGAGAGATGGATGAATGATGGAGTGAAGTAGTATGCTGATTGGACGAGATCGATGAGTTCAGAGCTGGCGTCTGCGTGAGACATTGATATAGGCGGTTCTAGATGGTAATGAAACTGGCACGTGTGTGTGTTCAAGGAAGGGTCCATAGGTTCGGAAGTGGTCATCCAAGATAAATGGTCATCCAGGTTAGATGGCCGTCCAGGCTGAATGGTCAGCCAGGATTGATAACCATTCAGGAGGAAGTAAATCACTCGGTCCGAGTCGCCGATACCCGGACGACAGGTGAAGTAGGAATGTAAAATAACGCCCTGAAGAACGTATCTTAGGTAGTCACTTGTACTGACCGGAGCCGCCTTGGTGTTACAGCTACCAATTCCAACTGGGAGTTTGTCAGGGAACGTCCCAGCAGTGTTACCAAGCAATGTATTACGAATGACCACCTGGATTGACCACAATGACAAAGGACATCCCGGATTGACGAGAATTTGCCCTTGGCGACAAAGTGCGGACATGGTTGGGTATCGTGTGTGGGGCGTTTACAAGAATTCAGTTACGATAACCATCCAGGATGAAGCCGCCCTGGATGTGGACATCCAGGAGCGAGGTCCGTCTAATCCAGTTTCGACTTGATGTATCGACATCGACCGACACGCAAGGTCTGCGGAAATCGTCAACATGTGATGTGTCCACCTCCTCCCATACTGGAGTCAAGAAGTTAAGATGTGCAAGCACCGTCATCATTGTTGAGTGTATGAAGAGAATCCAGA